AGAGGGCACAGCAGCAGATGCATGGACTCCTTCACTCCATAAGTTGTAGCTCAGCAAGATCATCAAATCAACTACAACTTTTCCTTGTTTAACCACTAGAAAGTATCCCAAGATCTCATCCAGAATAGATAGGATGCCTGCTCTGGTACCAATTGAAATTCTGGTATGCAGATCACATGTGTTCCAAGAACATTGATCTCTGCTCAACAAGGATGAGGACAGACCATGGCCAATTTAAATTTCTTTAAATTATCCCAATGTCATGACCAATGTCACGACCTCTGTTGTGACATCTACAGTCTGTCATACTATTTATCTAACCATTTAAAGTACAGAATTGTAAATGCAGAAAGATAAATAACACAGTAATTGTTCACCCAGTTCGGTATCAACAACACCTACATCTGGGGGCTACCAAGGCAGGGAGGAAATTCACTATTAGTAGAATCAATTCAAAGTCAAACCTCAAGTTTGCACTTCTCACTTAATCTCTACCCAATGACACTTCAGCCTAGAGACATTCTAATACTTGAGTATACCCACTCAATCCCCCTCAATCACACAACAGTGATATCAAACAATTACAGAAATCGGTATAAAGAGACACTTCATACACACCTTGATCTTGCTTCATAGATTTGATCAAGGAACTCACACACTCATGTTTCACAGCTTTGAGTGAGACACAACCTAGAATCTACCTAACCAATGCAATCATCAACCAGACAATTGCTTGGATTATGAGTATTTCTAAACAGACTTTACACGTGAAGACTAGCCTTCTTCACTTACAAATATGTCTACCTCAATGTATCAAAAGATACAAAGGGTGACTTACACACAAGGGACTCTCAAGCCCTAGACCTTTATTTTACACTCTGGTTTTTCTTGATGTGATTGCTTACTTTTCCCTTGCTTCTGCGCCTTCTTTTATAGCACTGCAGACTGGGCTTGGGCTGTGCAGAAGTAACAAATATTAGTTTTAATAAAGTAAAACTAATTCCCACTATTCAAGGTGCTGTCAAATTAGGTCACAACTGTTTCATGATATGGTCAGTACTGCCTATAATCTCTACTGAGATAACTAAGGAGTCATAACAGGTTTCCTGAAGTATAGCCTGAGATATATCAGGTATCATAACAGAAAAACAAACTCTGCACACCTGATGTCATACGCTCAATGTTATGACATCCAGTATGACATCCATCTCTCTTTGTGCTTAGCTGACCAACCTTGCCCTACTGCACACTCCTGCAGAATCTTCTTCACACCAATAGCAACAAGCATATTGTAGTGTCCTAAAAAGTCTCACAGAACCTTTTTATGAACTCCAACTAAATATGTGCTTTGTTCCTACTAATTCTCTTTGGCCTACACATATTGATGAGGTATATCCAAAGCAATTCTGTCAAGAGATATACATTAGCAACTCCTTCTGTTGTCATGCAACTATGTCCTGCTTAAAACACATGACAATACACCTCACTCACCACACCTCCCACTGTTGTGGTTGTACACCTCTCTCACCACATGTGAGGAACTTTATCACAACTCAACCTGTTGTGGCTGCATACCTTACCACTTGTGAGGTACGTGGCTACTGCTAACACATAGCAGCTACTGCACTCCTAACCACCTTAGGATCACACTTCGATGAGATGATCTTATCAATCCCCATAGCAGCACCTGCTGTACCAGACATGATGTCATGACATTCAGTATGACATCCATGACAACAGTTTTGTCATCACCTCCTTCTGCATCCATGCCAGCAGTTCTGCCATCTGCTCTTGTTAGCTCCTGCTGCACATAGCTCCTGCTGCACCAGATGTAATGACATCCTGTTTACAACACATGACGGCAGTTCTATTATCAGCTCCTGCTAGCTCCTGCTGTACCACTACTCCTGCTGTTTCTCACACATGACAGTAGTTTTGTATGACAGCAGATGGATGTCGTGATGGATGTCACGACATTCAGCATGACATTCTTATTAAAACACTCCACAGCAGTTCTGTCACCACAACAGATGGAGATGTTATAGTATCCTGCTTCACATCAGTGCAGGATCATGTTTTACCAAAATTTAGCCAATCCTAGAACCATAGAACCATGGTACTAACACCTACTTTCTTGTGGACAAAGAAGTTCATGAATTGGATCCATTTTCACCAAGTTGTGGAGATTCAAAGTGGGCTCTGTAAGTTGGTTTCCAAAGCATGACATGATACATTTCTTGGCACAATTGTGAATCTACCTTTGCATCAAGCTTTGGGCCTCAAATTCATGCATACACCTCACTCTTTTGGTATCCAAAACACTTCCTAAACAAGCCAAACACACACACACACACACACACACACACACACACACATGCATCATGCACCACATTTGAATGTTTACCAATTTTAGAAAAACATGAAAACCTCATAAAATGACTTCATTGTTTTCTTTCCCACGTGCCTGGCTTCACCCTAATTTTCATGCCTCATTTCTGACTCTCCTCCACTTACCAAAAACCTTAACAAAACCAAAGAATAACACTATGTGAAAATTGTTACAACACATAATATCCCTCAACTAACCCATGCCTCCAGTACACCCACACCTTCCAAAGCAAATATTTAACTACATTTCACAACACTCTAATACAAAAGCATAAGAGAACAAAGAAAGTCAAATACAAGTTTAAAGTGCTTTTGACTGGTGCATCTTAGAATGAAGAGCTTGAATCATATATATAGCATTGAACTCTCACTTCCTTCACAAAGTTAAGCGATGTGGGACTTCAAGGTGGTTGTTTCAACAATTTTTGGTTGATGGATTTACTGTGATAGAATAGAGAGATTGAATTTTATTTGCAAGAATTAGAAAAAGCTTAGAGTTTCTAAGTATTGTAATTTGAATGATACCGAATAGACAGTAAATATTAAGGGATTGAACAAAGTTAAAAGAATGGTGATATCGTCAAGTTACGTTGGAAGTCAGAGGTTCATGAAACAACTTTATTTTGATGGAATCGTAATTTGTAGCCATTTTGTATTTCCATATCTTTTTATCACATTTACTTGCAACCCAACTGGCCTAAAATTCAAAGATTGATTACCAAAATTAACTTACAGCCACATGATCATCCTGATATCATATCAAGAGTATTCAAAATCAAGTTTGAGTTGTTATATGATCTCCCAAAGAAACCTGTTTTAGGGAGGGTACTTGCATGTAAGTCGAACATTTATTTTTCTTTAATATATAATCTTATTTACATCAAGTTTTTTATTTCTTTATATTCCATTTAATATTAGATTTATCTAATTTCACATCTTTACACGATTGAATTCCAAAAGTGAGGTTTAGCACATGCACATATTCTTCTATTCTTACATCCATCGAGCAAGTATCCAACATGAGATGATATAAACCAATCAATTTCAGAAGAGATACCATTCGAAGAAAATGATTAGGAACTGTATCATTTGGTCAAAATACATATGATGCATGGTCAATGCGGTTTAGCAAACAAGTTTTCACCTTGCATGAAAAATAGAATGTGTTATAAGTTCTTCCCCCAAGAAGTTTCAGTCTACTACCATTGTTGATCAGGATGGATATCTTGTATATAGAAGAAGACACTATGGTAATTCAGTGATGAAATATCACGTTGTCCTGAATAACAGGTATTGAGTCCCTTATAATCCAATTTTGTTGAAAAATTTTCAAACACACATAAACATGGAGTGATGTAATCAGAGCAGTTCAATGAAATACTTATTCAAGTACGTTAATAAGGGATATCATAGAATTACGGCTGTTGTTGGGCAAACAGATTCTAACGGTAATATTGTGCACTGTTGGGCAAACAGATTCTAACGGTAATATTGTGCACAAAAGAGTTGATGAAATAAATCAGTATCTTAATTGTAGATTTGTGTCACCAAGTGAAACATGTTAGAGGCTTTTTCATTTCCTATTTATGGTAGAAATCCTACTGTTGAAATCGTATTTTACCATCTCGAGGGTGGCAATTTTGTTTACTTTACTGATTATGAGATGATAAACAAAGTACTTGACAAACCAAATATAAATGACTCAATGTTTATTTCATGGCTGGAAGCAAATAAAATTTATCCAAAGACAAAAGGTCTAACTTATTCTCAATTTGTTTCTAAGTTTGTCTATAAGAAAAGGTACCGATGTTAGTTGCAACATTATATATTTCTTTCAATGTTGTTTTCACTAATTTTTGAAATTGGTTGCAATATTATATATTTTCTTATGTTGTTGTATGATAGAAAAACGACTTATGAGATTATTGCGGTAATGGATGAAATGCTCTATTGAAGTCACAAATTATATTGATTTAGATGTATATTTTGAAATATTTAGCAACATCTTTTTCTATCTTTTATTATGTATTAATTTCAAGTTTAAAACATTATATAACTATAATTCTTTCTTTGATAATTTTTGTTATCACTAACAAAACGTGTTATTATGTCGCCATATTATATATATATTTTAATGTATTGTTTGGATTGATGCATATTAGATTGATATGTATAATGATTATAAGATTTTAAGTATGTAAATCTTAATCAACTGAATAAATGAATTTAAACTTAACCCATAAGAGTGGACGATGTGTAATTGCACGAGTTTTTTATAAAACCTCTCAATTCCACTTCTTTATTAGTATAAACAAAAAACCTTCAATGGATCACTATTTCTTTTGAAACAACTTAATGTATCACTATTAATATAGCTTCTCATATTGGAAAAGTGTACAAAGTTATTGGAAAGTGTATCTATTAAACATATAAATGTATCACGCTATAAGTGAAATTATCACAATTAAAACAAGCCCATTTTCATGGACTTGATAGTCAAAAATTCAAACCTCAAAAACGTGTGCTGACAACAACGTAAACTACACATGATTTATAGAAGTCTTTGTTCAACTCAACATCGTTCAAAACAAACTCCACCATCCTCATCAACCATGGACCTATCTCTCAACACAACGCTCCGATTTGGATCACAAAACCATAATCCACTCAATCACTATCCTCATAATCCAATTTCCATTTCAATCAAACTCAAGAAATCATCAACACTAAGATTGACTGCAAAGAAAAAGTCAACGATTGAAGGTATCAGTGACGAGTTGAATTCCGTAGCTTCTCTTAACCTTGATTTCGCACCTTCTCGGAGACATGTTCGAGAAGCCTTCACTCATGTGCAACACAAACTAGACCATTTCTTATTCAAGGTGATTAATTCAATTATAGCTTAAACTTTTTTTATGTTATATTCCATTTTTTTTTAGGATTATGACTTATATGTTTCAATCTCTTTCTGTGTTTTTCCTTAATAGACTGCACCTTCTGGAATCAGAACTCAAGAAGTAAGTTTTTTGTTTTGTTTTTTTCACAAATGTCTTTTGCATGATCTGTAGTGTACTATGAATCACCGATTCCAACTGAGAAATCAGGACACGGACATTCCGATACTAATAATATAAAAATATAAGACACCAACACCACTAGTATTAGAGTTTTATTTTTCTATCTGTTATTTAAAGTTATCTTTAATTCTTCATTGATAAAATTGTTTTATTTGATTGGTGAGAGATTTGTTCAAAAAAATATATAAGATGGATTGAAATAAAGAAAAAACAATTTTTTTATAAAAAAAGTTGAATGGATAGTATGAATATCAAATGTATGTCGACATCAATTTAGAGAGTGTCAAATAATAAAAAAATAACTATTTTTTTTAGAGGATACTTATGTGACTTTTCTAACATTTGTTTAACTTTTTCGACATGTATCTTACGAGTGTCATACAAATATTTTACACCAAAGCATGTTACGACATGTATTTTACGAGTGTCATTGAAATATCAGACACCAAAGCATGTTAGACACCACAACACGCATACTCCTATTAGTATATGTTTGAAAAATGATGTAAAGCTATTAATTTTGATTATTAGTGGTATGAAACGAATTCAAGGGGATTGGAGATTTTCTGCAGAAGTTGGATGCCCGAACACGGAGTTCCAATCAAGGGAGCTTTGTTTTTCTGTCATGGATATGGCAGTACTTGCACTTTCTTCTTTGAAGGTTTGTCTTTCTACTGTGTTATTGATTTCTTTGTTAACCGAGGTAGAAACATATCAAGTAGATGAAGGAGTATTCATTCGATTTTTTGTTCAGGTATTGCTAGACGAATTGCTGCTTCTGGATTTGGTGTTTATGCAATGGATTTTGAGGGTTTCGGTTTATCCGAAGGATTGCATGGTTATGTACCGAGTTTCGATGATTTGGTTGATGATGTTATAGAATACTCTACAAAAATTAAAGGTATGGCCTTTAAAATTAGGACTTTTGTTCTATCTGCGAAGGTTGCATTAGTGCATTTGATTATGAATTTCTTTTAATCCGTGTATTTGTGTTGACAGCAAAACCTGAGGTTAGAGATTTGCCGCGATTTATATTCGGGCAGTCGATGGGTGGAGCAATTGCTCTTAAAGCTCATTTGAAGCAACCTAATGATTGGGACGGAGTCATCCTTGTAGCACCAATGTGTAAGGTATGTCCGTTTCTTTGTGTTGCATTCTACGAAGCTATGAGACAGATATCTGACACAATACTGACATGTTGATCTGCTCTGGTTCTAAGATTTCAGACGGCATGATACCGTCGACTACGGTTTTGAATGTGTTAACTCTCTTGTCGAAAATGATGCCAAAGGCAAAACTATTCCCTTACAAGGATCTAACCGAGCTGATTATCCGAGAACCCGGCAAAAGAAAATTTGTTAGTAACTTTTCTCAATCCCTTGTTCTTCAATGTTTGCCTAGTAATTGGAAATAATCATTAATCAAACTAATTATGTTATGATTTTTTTTCTCTTATAGGCTGGTTACAATGTTGTTTCTTACGATGATAAAACGCGATTAAGAACAGGAATGGAACTCTTGAGTGCAACTCAAGATATTGGATCACAGTTAGAGAAGGTTAATTTTTGTTTAATTGCATAGTTGGAATTCTACTATATTATAGCTATGTTTTTTTTTTTTTTTTTTTGCAATTATATTTACATACAATTTTCAGGTGTCTGCTCCATTGTTGATTCTTCATGGAGCAGAAGATAAGGTGACAGATCCATTGGTGAGCCAGTTTCTTTATGAGAAAGCTTGTAGCAAAGATAAGACTTTAAAGATATATGAAGGAGGTTACCATGGCATTTTGGAAGGTGAACCTGATGAAAGAATTTCTTCTGTTCACAATGATATTATCTCATGGCTTGATTTTAGGTGTTCTAGATGATTGAGGTTGATGGAATGTGTTTCAAGATTTTGTTATGATAGTTAGTTGCACATATGATTTTTAAGTTATGTAATGATCTAATATGAGACTAAAAATAATAGACATTAGTCCAAGTGACTTAGTGAGTTGGAGAGTTTGTTTTGGGTGGTCATAAATTTTTGGTTTTGAGATGCAATTTTAAAACTAAATTCACTTTGGCAAAAATGGAGTTGACTTAATTTTTTAATTAAATTCAAAAACGGTTTTCCACTAGAATTTAAATAAATAAATAAAATTTTGTTTTATATATAAGACTACCACCAGTGAAAAAATTCAAAACGGTTTTTCACTATAATCTAAAATAAATAAATAAAATTTTGTTTTATATATAAAACACTACCACCAATGATTACTTACTGCTATTCTGATCACTGTTATGATTAGTATTGACCATTATTATGATTATTATCGACCACTTGTGATCTCCACTACTAAAACAATTTAAATTTGTTTTGAAAGGTAAAATTGGGGTGTGCAATCGACTTTGGTTAGCAGGAAAAGTAAAAAAATTATTAGAAATTATTATATTAACAAACAATTAGGTTTTATTTGAATCCCCTAAGTATCACTACTAATGATTGTGTTTATTTGCTTTCGATTAATCTTACATGCCTACGACTAACTAACATAACCTTTATACTCAATTATTCTTTAGTATATAAATTACTAAATTAAAGAGCAACTTCTCAATTTCTTAGGCCAGTTTAAGATAAATTAGAATAATATAGAACGTTAATTTCTAGGTGTCGCAGCGAGAATTGGATGTCAAACTATTGATTAACTTGAATCACAAATCATTATTCACCACCGGTTTTTAATTTGTCCAAAAAAAGGGAAAAAGATCAAATAACCCATCAGAATGCAATGCAATGCAAAGCTAGAGAATCTAAGGTTCGGGGTTGGTTAAACTTAGGGAAGGTGTTAGCATCCTAAGCATCTGTAGTACTCTACATGAATCTCTTGTTGAATTTTGTTATTGTTGTTTATTAAGGGTAAGAGACCTAAGGGGTTTATTTCTAAGTATTCTCGTCAAGACATCGTATCTCGTGCCTACGTATCCTGACGAAAGTGGAATCAGAGCATTCGTAGTTTCCCTAAAAGGACGAGGAACCATTGACTATGGTCAAAGTTCCAGGTGGAGAAGGTTTGTTGATTGATTATAGGAGAAGAGACCAGTCATCATCTTAAGAAGAATACTCGACTTAGCCACCACAAACATGCGGACGACGGTCTTTGCGTGTTTTACTCTCAATTCTGTCGGTCTCAATAGCCAAAGAAAAAAAACTAATGTTTTATTCATTTTTAATCTTAAAAAATTGATGAATATTAAAATCATGTTTGTTTTAATTGAAATTAAAAGAAATAACTTTATTTTTATATATTTTTAAAAATAAATTTAATAAAATTTATTCAAAAATAGTATAATCCGGTTTGAATGTTTTTTTTTATAAATTAAAAGATATATATTTATTTTAAATTTTTAATAAAATAAAAAATATGTAATAAAAAATATAAAATAATTTTATATTAATAATTAATCACCGAATCAATTATACTTTAATTTTAAAATTTTGTTGATAATATAATAAATTGTTGATATTTTATTGAATCAATATTAATGCATATCAATTAAATATATTTTAAAAAAAATATCTCTCAATTTTTATTATAAATAACAATAAGATACGTAATTTGATATCTATTTATTTATTTATCATTTAATTTTTGGTAGAAATAATTATATTTTGTTCCGTAAATTGACAATAATATGGTGAGTGCATAATATTTGAAGGAAAAAGGTGCAAAGAGGAGTCGCGGTGGTTTTGTTTCGTCGGAGCTGGGAGTTGGCGGTGGCATCCAAATCAGTAACATGTCACTTCTCAATCAACTCTTCAACAGAGGCGTTTTCTCCACTCGATGGTGATTTCTCTCCTTCATCACTCTTCTCTGCTTGATCCTTATCTTTTCTTCTATGATTTCGCGGTTCCGGATACGCCTTTTTCTGTTTGAATCCTTCCAATTCTAGGGTTTATGCATTAGGTTTTGTGAATTTACCCGATTACATGTTTCTTGATTAAGTTTCGGTCACTTTTTATATCACATGTTAACTAAATTGATAACTAAATTGTTAATTGTATTGAATTTCAATTTCAATTATGATTTGGAATAGTATACTTAGGTAGTATGATTTGGATCTTACCATCGTTGCTGGAATTGAGCTATTTTTGCGGAAAAATTGGGATTCTTAGTAGATGAATTGTTTGCATAACAATCTGTGGTGTGATTTGTGAATAATAAGATCTTTTGAGGCTATGTTTGGATATTACAAGATGAACGGAGCGGAATTAAAAGGAGCGGAGTGGAATGGATGGAATGTAGCGGAATGGAGCAGAGCGAAATATGAAGATTCTATTCCATTGTTTGAAAATTTTAGGCTATGTTTGGATTGATGGAGTGAAGCGGAATGGAATGAAATAAGGTTATGTTCCATTGTTTGGATCGATTAAAACATGATGGAATGTAGTGGAACTGGATGGAATGCATTCCATCATTTTTTTACCCTCTAATTTGGGCGGAATGACAAAGTTGCTCTATTTCATCATGAAATACTCAAACAATGGAATGACATCTTTATTCCACTCTGCTCCGCTCCATCCCGTTTCGTTTGTTTTACATTCAGAAAGGAAGAAATATGGTTGTAAATAATGGGATGAAATGAAATTCAATAGCACTCCATTCTGCTCCGCTCCATCGGATTTTAAATGATCCAAATAATGAAATACCACTCTATTTCATCTCATACTGCCCTGCTTCATCCGATTCCATCAATCCAAACAAAGTCTTAGATTCTTTCTCAATGTGTATGTTGTACTAAACTTCTATTTCATTCTTTTTTCATCTCGGTCTTTGGTAGCAAAACATGCTTGAACCTCGCAATTTCACGCATGAAGTTGCTACAAAACAAGAGAGATGTTCAACTGAAACAGATGCGCAAGGAGATAGCTCAATTTTTGCAGGCTGGCCAAGAACCAATTGCTAGAATTCGGGTAATCCTTCAAATCTTGGTGAATGACTACTACTTTACGTGTCTTTTTTTCTCTCTGTGTTGACTATTTTATTTTCTATTTTTTTTGTGTGAATTGCATTGATTTAAATAGGTGGAGCATATTATAAGAGAACAAAATATATGGGCTGCATATGAAATATTGGAGTTATTTTGTGAATTTGTCCTTGCACGTGTACCTATAATTGAGAACCAGAAGTAAGTTCATAAAGGTCCTTAAAGTTTGTTCTTATTGAACATGCAGTGTGTTATTTATTTGATTTACATACATGAAATTTAGCACTTGTGCAGATCACATTGTGTGTTTTCTTATATTCACAGATTTCTGTTAGATTGTAGTTATAGATCGGTGAAGTTTTTTGATGCAACTTTGAGAAAATTATGAAACTGAGTGATCACTCTGTGTATCTCCAAGCTTCACAATATTTCACAAGTGCCTATTCTTTTTTCAATACATTATCAAACAATAGCAATGGGAAGGTTGTGTACTCTATTTGTAAATTGTTTAGGTAGAAATCATAACAGATGGAAAACGATATCTCTATTTTGGATATTGGGGATGTAAAGAGGGTAGAAGATCGGCCATAATCTTAAAATTTGCAGTGGAACAAAATATCTTTAATGTTATTAGTGCTTATGCACTTTTGAAGTCTAATTTCAAGATGTACCACAAAGAAAAGAGATTTTTCTAGTAAGAGATCTAAATGGATACATTGGGAGCTTATCAAGAGGTTTTGAGGGTGTGCATCTTAGATTTTTCGTCAGCCTTTGATCTTACTATAACTAATGTGTTCTTTAGAAAAAGAGATGTGCATCTTATCGCATACAAGAGTTGAGTGTCATGTTCTCAGATAAATTTCTTTTTTATTAGAAATTAGATAGGAAGATTTGCTTGAATAATAAAGTTATATCAAGTGAGAGCTTGATTACCAAATATAGAGTATTGATTATGGATTTAGGAGTCAAGAGGAGAGCAAAAAAAAGAAACCATAAGGGACTCCACAGATGAAGTGGTGGTATTTGAATGGTGAAAAACAAATGGTTTTCTAACACAAAATCTTTGAGGGAAATTTCAAACGGTCACATGGAAGTGCGAATGATATGTGAGACAAGATGACTCCCTTAAGAGATTAAGAAGTAGCAAAAGAAACGTTTGGAGAACCAAGAGGTTTTGGACCTAGAAGTAATAAATAATTGTAGTGGTGGAACACAAATATTTAGATCTTCAGAGTAGTGTTAGAGTTAAAAAAAGAATGTTTAAAGATTGGTCTAAGTGTAAAAATATCGAATATTGGAAAAATTATAAGAAAGTTAGAAAAGAGAACAAAAAGGCGGTGAGCGAAGTAAGAACTCAAGTTTTTGACGGTTTAAACCAATCCTTAGTAATCAAGGAAGGAGAAATACTTGTATATAGACTTGCTAAGGAAATAAAAAGAAATACAAAAGACTTGGATCAAGTGAAGCGTGCTAAAGATGAAGGCAAGATTTTGTTTTAGTTCAGGAAAATGATGTAAAGGATAAATGGAAGAAATATTTCCACAATTTATTCAATTGGATATGAGATATTACCAAATTCTAACATGCTAAACATTAGTGAAGAGAATCAAAACTATAACTACAATCGTCAAATTCAAAAACACGAGTTAAAAGAAGCATTGAAAAGGATGAATAAAAACACGACAGTTAGGCCAAACAACATACCTATTGATGTGTGAAAAAATCTTGGAGATAGAGGGACATTAAGTAGCTCAACAAATTTTTTAACGAAATTATAAGGTCAAAGCAAATGTGAGATGAATAGAGAAAAAACACTTTGATTCCGATATGTAAGAGCAAATGGATATACAAAGTTGTGCATGTTAAATAAGGAGAACAAAGTTGCAGATATAGTCCTATTTGGAGAGTCAATGGAGGAATTAAACAAGAGGTTGGAGGTCTTGAGGCAAGACTTAGAAACGTATGCCTTTCGCTTGAGCATAAGTAAGACTGAGTATATGAAATGTAAGTTTAGTAAAAGGAGAAGCGATCTTAACATAGAGATGAAAGTTGGAGATCATATCATATCACAAGTTACGCGGTTTAAGTATTCTTGATCCATTGGACAAAATGATGGAGAAATAGAAGGAGATGTAATCCATCAAATTCAAGTAGTTGAAATGGAGGAAAACATCAGGTATTTTATGTGATATGAAAGTACCAATCAAATTGAAGAACACATTTTTAAAAAAAGCTGTTAGACCAACAACGATGATGGATGAGACAAAATGTTGTTGGTCTGTAAAAAACCAATACAAGATAAATTAAGTGTTTCAGAGATGAGGATGTGACGTTGAGTATGTGGTAAGGTTAGACGAAATAAGATTAAAAATACTATATTTGAGAATGTTGGAGGTAACATTTATAGTAGAAAAGATGGTGGAAACTAGACTTAAGTAGTTTGGTCATTTAGAGAGAAGACCTGTGAACTAGTAGTAAAAAAAGTAGATTAGATAAAAGATAGTCAAACTGCTAAGAAAAACTATTAAGAAAGATCTCAAGATACTATTAAAAAAGATCTCGAGATTAATGAGTTTGATGGAAACCATAATTTTAGGTAAGCAACCGTATATTATTGAATGGGAAAATGGTGAGCTTAGGACTCTACAATGGTAGAAAATGGAACAAGAAAATATAAACCAGAGTTGTTAAACTCTTACCAGAGCTTGAAGCTCCTAAACCAGAGAATATTCTCCTTACTATTTTCTAACAAACTTTCTGAATGACTTCACTCTATCATTCCCTCTCTTTTATAATAGTAAATCCCTTAAAATTAGGGAAGATTCTAATTGACTCAACCTTCTAGATGCTGTAAGTGTGTGATTTGGGCCCAGTGGTTAATTCATCAAATCCGTTGGACCATGTTGTCCTATAGGCTAGCATGAGAGAATTGATTTTTCAGCCATGCTCCAGGTTCCCAACTGATGATTTTCTTCTGCCTTTCCCACTTGGTAATTTTTCTTTGCCTTATTATATTCACAACCACCATACTATGTTCCTTCTTCTGTTTTGGTGTTTGACACTGCATCTTCGCAGCTTTTCCCTTCTATTCAAAATAAATTGCCATTTTTTTCCAATTAAACACCAACTTATCAAGTTTGTGCAGCCAATCCACTCAGATCATATCTACCCCTTGTAATTCCAATATGCAAGCCTCCCACACTTCTTCGTAATTGTGCAAGTTCCGTTGCCAAATTTCACGTTTAATGCTTCAATTGAAAGTTATAGAGATGCTGCCATTTGTGTAGTCATGAAATTGTGACTCACACCGTTGTCCACTATCATTAGTGACATTCCTTCCCGATGTAAGGGATAGGGAAAGGATTGTGAACTCCGCCTTCCCCCTTTAGTCCAAACAACATCATAAAGTTGCATCCCATGCATTCATCTCCTTCTGTGGCCTCAATTGGAAGTACCTCTTCCTCATTGTTACAGACCTCGTCGTCGCCTAAGATTACTAACTAGAGTTGCTTTTCTGCACATTGATGAAGAGGATGAAATTTCTCTCCACATCTCCTTCTGTGGCCTCAATTGGAAGTACCTCTTCCTCATTGTTACAGACCTCGTCGTCGCCTAAGATTACTAACTAGAGTTGCTTTTCTGCACATTGATGAAGAGGATGAAATTTCTCTCCACAGCGAAAGCAATGACCCTTGCCTTTCCATTCCATCAATTCAGAGTAAAGAATATGACGAATTCCCTTACTTCGGTAATTGTTTTTTTGTGTTGTAGCTTCTGTTTTTTGAAATTAGGGTTTGTAATTGGGCTAGCATTTAACTTAGATTGGGCCGGTTTTGGGTTGCTGTTGTTCGTAGGCCCAAACTCGTTACCTCACTTGTTCTGACCCGAGTAAAAACCAGATTTGACTCCATTTTACCCACTAGATCCAAAGTTTGACTCGAATTCCCCTTTTCCACTTGATCCATGATCCAATCTCTTAAAACTCCTTCCCTGTCAAATTCCTCCACTGCTTCTATGAATCAAAGATCCACACTGATCTATTTCCATGTCTCGAGCTATCTTTATGGCCTGAATCTGAGTTGTAGGGATCAGAGTTCTCACCTTCAATCTTATTTCCTTTTTGATCCCCCTCCCTAGAAAATTAACAAGATACTGATTTTTAGGGAGACAATTTACTTGTGAAGATACATATTCAAATTCTGTTATGTACTCAACATCGTTTATCTATTGCAAATATTTCAATTCTTAAAAGGATTTTCGCTCTTCCGCCTTCCATAACGCTCAATCAATATACAGTCAATTCTAATTAATACATATCAATCATAATAATTATATAAATTATATAATATATCAAGCAAATCATATCATATCTCAAGACTCCTGCTTAAGTTGGAGCATACTAATTGTAGGCATCAAGCATGTCACAGATGTAAGTTATTCTTGGTCTTCGAAGAGCTTTTGTGAAAACGTCGGCCAATTGATTATTAAAACCAACAAATGAAGTAACAATTTCATCAAACCCAATCTTTTCACGAATAAAATGTAATCAATTTCTATGCTAAGTTCGCTTATGAAAGACTGAATTAGAGACAATATGTAAAAGTGTTAGATTATCGCAAATGAGATTCATAGTGTCTATTTTACAAAAATGCAACTCTTGGAGAAGATGTTTGAGCCATATGAGCTCTTGGGTAGTAAGTACCATAACTCGATATTCAGCTTCAATATTGGATCTAGCAACAACATTTGGCTTCTTACTTTTCCATGAAATTAGATTTCCACCTATAAAAACACAATATCTAGATGTGGATCGCCTATCAAAGGGACATCCAGCCCAATCAGCATTTGTGTAAGCAACAATATCTAAATTATCTCTGACTTTATAAACGAGACCTTTTCCAGGAGCTCCTTTCCTTTAGTGTACCTCAAGATTCGAACCACATCATTCCAATGACTATCACTTGGAGAGTTCAAAAATTGGCTCACTACACTAATAACATATGCGATGTCTGACCTTGTCATGGTCAAATAATTAAGCTTCCTAACTAACCTCTTATACCTTATAGGATCTGAAAAGGACTTTCCCTGACCACCTAGGATTTGACTTTTGGATCCATAGGAATGGCAATTGACTTACAATCTAGTATACCAGATATATCCAAAACATATTTTCTTTGGGAAAGAACAACTCATGCTTTCGA